GACAAAAATTCTAACTGGGGAAAAACTATGGTAGAAGTGTAATTCATGGTTACAAGGATGGGCTTTGAAAATGAACAAGAGAGTGTGAGCCTTGGTTGACCATTGGTAGCTGTGTGATACTGGCAAGTTACATAGACTGTGAAATTCATTTATTTTACTGCTGAAGTGAAATGAATACTAATAATAGCTTAATAACTTTTAGGATACAATGACTTGGACAATATATACAATATATATGTAAAATTTCATATAATTAACTGCTTGTTGTGTGTCTTAAGCATACAATTTTACAGATTCAAAGAGATGTAAATATTAAAAGAAAAGCATCCTCGGTATGAAGGAAAAATTGCTTTGCTAGTAAACAAGTAAATAGATCTTCAGTATTTCCAAATGCATAAGAATGGAAATATGTAACTATTTATTTACAGGTGCCTGTGAATATGTTTATACCACATGGAGGCAATATAGCATTAGATTAAACAGGACTTTAGCACAGAAACAAATTTGTGTACAAATCTCAACTATTTTATTCAGTGATTCTATAAATTCAACCAGATATTGTAAACTTTTTTTTCCCCAGATATGGTAACCTTTTTAAAGCTCAACATTCAGAAAACTAAGATCATGACAACTGGTCCCATCACTTCATGGCAAATAGACGGGAAAACAGTGAAAGCAGTGGCTGACTTTATATCTTGGGGGCTCCAAAATCACTGCAGATGTGGATTGCAGCCATGAAATTAAAAGACACTTGCTCCTTGGAAGGAATGTTATCACCAACCTAGACAGCATATTAAAAAGCAGAGACATTACTTTGTCAACAAAGGTCCGTCTAGTCAAGGCTATGGTTTTTCCAGCAGTCATGTATGGATGTGAGAGTTGGACTATAAAGAAAGCTGAGCACTGAAGAATTGATGCTTTTGAACTGTGGTGTTGGAGAAGACTCTTGAGAGTCCCATGGACTGCAAGGAGATTCAACCAGTCCATCCTAAAGGAGATCAGTCCTGAGTGTTCATTGAAAGGACTGATGTTGAAGCTGAAACTCCAATATTTTGGCCACCTGATGTGAAGGGTTGACTCTTTTGAAAAGACCCTGATGCTGGGAAAGATTGAAGGCAGGAAGAGAAGGGAATGGCAGAGGATGAGGTGGTTAGATGGCATCACCTACTCAATGGACATGAGTTTGGGTAAACTCCAGGAGTTGGTGATGGACAGAGAGGCCTGGCGTATTGTGGTTCATGGGACCACAAAGAGTCGGACATGACTGAGTGACTGAGCTGACTGACTGACTAACAAATCTGTCTGTGATGTAAACGGAAGCATTTGCAGGTCTCACCAAAGGATCACTGCCCTTCATTGACTGGTGCCAGTAATGGAAAGGAAGTTTTTTCTACACATTTTATTTAACCTTTTTCTTTTTAGTTGATTCAGGCAAGACAAGAAATCTGGTCTGTGTTATTCCATTTTGACAGGGAAAAGAAGATTGTAGAGTAGATTTTCTAAGTTAAAAGCACTTTGGATTTTATACTTCTGAAACTCTTGTCAACTTCACTTATCTTGTTGCAGCTTACTTACTGGATGGGAGTTTACTGCTTTCACTTCTCACTTCCTGTTTTTGCAACCACTTATGAAACAGTGCCATATGTTCTTGATTAAATAGAGACATTACTGTGTTGGAGACTTTGAAAATGTTTCAGAAAGACTCTACCTCCAGAGAAAATGTGGAAGAGGGGCGATCTGGTAAGTGAAAATTGATAAACTTTGACAAAGTAAAATGGGGGCTGGGGAGGGGAATTCTTATTCCAGTGACTACTGACAGGATAGAAATTGCACTTCAGGAATATCAGTGCCTCACAATTCACCTCTGTAGAAGGAGAGATGGTTTGAAGGTCTAGAGGTGGCTGAGAGGACAGGTAAGTGTTATATCAGTTAATATGCTACTGTTTATGTTTTTTAAATATTTCACATGAATTACGCTACAGGAGGTTAATAGAAAAATGCTCTTTGGATTTATTTTATTAGTCTTTATATTTTCCCCAAGTTGCTGGCGATTTGCACTCTGGCAAGTCACATTATGATATTAAATAACAGATGATTATATCTCAGAGTAATGGTAAACAGACACCAACATTTGGTAATATATATACTACTAAAAGTTGCCCAAACCTACTGTATAGCACAGGGAGCTGTGTTCAATATTATGTAACAACCTAAATGAGAAACGAATTTTAAAAAGAATAAATACATATATATGCTAAAAAAGAATTCACTATGACACCTATACTGTAGTGTGATTGAATCTAGTAATCACAGGTTTAGAACCTGCTATTTGTTAGACATAGAGCTACAAAGACAAATTACGTTTAGACCCTGATTTCAGGCTTCATCATCTCAGGGACAGACAAACGAGTTACTACAACTTGATGTGATTAGTGTGACAAGATATTTAATGAAACTTAGGGAGTTGGTGATGGCGTAATTGTGAAGTTAATTTTCACCTGGGCCTTGAATGATAGCATCACTTTTTCTGAAAGAAATAGGAATAAAAGTCAATTTTCTTCAAAAAACAAATTTTAAGTAAATACAAAAGTATACTTTCCTTCCCTTGGTCACAAAAATATCCTGCAAAGTTTCCTTTTGGGGTTAAGGGTAAATGTGATTTTTCAGTGAGATCATTAAATGTTTCAGCTAAAATCTATTGAGGCCCATTTTGTGTCCAGATAATTTTCTCTTGTCTCTCTTCTGCTTTATGTCTCATGGAGTCTGCTGTACTTCTGTGTTCTCTCTCTCTCTTTCATTCTCTATTCCTTTGATTATAGTGGATCTTATATGGCCAAGCTTTATGTCATCCTATTTAGAGTATGATACCAAAGTAGTTTATTTAATGTGTCTTACCAGAGATTTTCAGTAGTGAACATAAAAAACATGAGCATCTTTTAAACCTAACCATTTTAGTTAAAGTTTTTTTTTAATTTATTTATTTTTAGCTGAAGAATAATTGCTTTACAATATTGTGTTGATTTCTGCCAAAAATCAACATGAATCAGCCATAAGTATAACAGTTTTGATTTAGTAAGAACATCAGTATTAATATAACATAGTGATTGATTATTAAAAGCATTTGTTGAAATATAGCATCTATATGGTTGATGTTATTATCAACATCCCTGCATTACAAAAAAATTAATTATAACCTCCTTCTACTCTCCCCAGTTGATATTAGCTGAGAACTAATTTCTTATTGTTCCCTAAAGAGACTTTTGTTTAATAAAACCATGAATAGTTGTTGACTAAAAAAAAAGTTGCCTCCACACTGGAAATATTGATGTACAGACCCTATTTTATAATTTAGAAAACAAATGTGTGGGTTTGGGAATAGGATACTAAAGCCATCCTCCAGAAAACCCTTTAGCATTTTTAGTTTATAAGAAATTTGATGAGAAAGAGAAAAAATACAGCTCATGCATGTTTGTACTTCAGCCCAGCAGAAAGAATACCTTTTACTGAACATCTATTTTCTGGTAAAAACATGCATTTCCATCTTTCTTCTTTCCTTCTCCCTTTCTCTGAATTTTATTTTTTATCAAGGACAAGATGATATTGAATTTCCTGAAACACAGGGTTCACGCTTAATCAAAAAGAAAGTTCTTAAAGAGCTTTAATGTTTTACTAGCTAAGCCAAGGGCTTAGGTAGTTGAAACTATTTGAGCAGTGCAAATGTGAAAGTTATTTATTTATTTTTTAATTTAAACTGTTCCTGTAAGCTAACTAGGTTTTCTAGAACATAAAACTAAAGTTAAAACCAATAGACCAGTATTATGGTTCATTTCTCTGTTCTTCTGTGAGATAATCCCCAACACTATTTTTCAAATTAGAAAATTGGTTATTTTGTTTGGAGTATAATATAAGGCATTTGAATTTAGAGAAAGACAAAAAGAGACAAACCATAGAATGAGAAGAAATTTTCCTTTGCTTTTCTGGTTGGTTTAAGAATTCAATTGATTTGACATAGATAACAGGAGAAAATCAAAGAAAAGTTGGCTAACAAACATACATGGGACAGATTCAGGAAAACTGAGTAACTGGGAAGCAACCTAGATGCCCATCAGCAGATGAATGGATAAGGAAGCTGTGGTACATATACAAATGGAATATTACTCAGCCATTAAAAAGAATTCATTTGAATCAGTTCTAATGAGATGGATGAAACTGGAGCCCATTATACAGAANGTTCCCCACCACATTCAGACCCATATTCTTTGCCAGAAGTCCTTGGGGTGAAAGCAGGCCTGGGTTCCCAGGAGCCTTCCAGGAGCCTGGTGTCTCTTGGTTCACTGGAGCTGTCAAGCACTAGGATGAGGGGTCCTGGGTTAGTGGGAGCCTGCAGGGAGTCACATAGGGCTGCAGAGTCAAGCCTGACGTGATGCTGGGGAAGGCAGATCTGGGATATGTAGCGAAGGCAGGTGCTGTTTTACTCCCCTTTTCCCAGGGGGAATGGGTCTCTCTTTTTTCTGGACTGCCCAGTCCTGAGGGAAGGGTTTTGGGAGCCTGGTCCCCAAGAGTTCACCAAGAGCCAAGTATCACAGGAGCCCCACCTGGAGCTGCTGGAGTTGGCAGGTGCAGGGGGAGACAGGAGCCTGTCTCCTAGGAGCCCACAGGAAGCCCGGGGTGGAAGCTGTCTGAGGCTGCATTGTCTGCTGGGATTGCTGGAGTGCAAGGAGCTGGGATGAGTCAGGGAGTGGGTGTGCCTGGACTCCTTGGCTCTGGGGAAGGTATTTTCATGTACAGATAATTTTCAAATTAATATTTCTACTGGGAGGTGAGTGGACGTGACTTCTAGAAACACGTTCACTTCTTTATAATCTTTATGCCTTTTACTTACTTTTCTTGCCTCATTGGCACTGATAGAACCTCTAGTAAAATGTTAAACTGGATTGGTGAGAGAGAGCAGACATCCTTGCCTTGTTTCTGACCATTGGTGGAAGGGGTTCACTTTTTCACCATTAAATATGTTAGTTGTACTACTTCTGCAAATGACAAGTATCAGTTTATGTCCTTCAATTCCTAATTTGTTGGAATTTGTTATCTTGGATGAGTATTATGTTTTTCACATATTTTGTCTATACTTACGAGATGATCATATCCTTTCTCTTCTCTTATTCTGTTAATATGATGAATTACATTGATTAATTTTCTAATGCTCCTCTCAGTACTTCTAAGCAGATTTCTCATTTAAGGAGGTAAATCTGGATTTTTTTTTTTCATCCTGATTTCTACTCTTTTTGTTTCTTACTATTTCCCTAGCTCTTCTTCCAATTACTGAAAGATTCTCTAGGGGAAAAAACTCAGTATCTCTTAGTCTGGTCCCCTTTGGGTCATGGCCATCATTTGTGGACTTTGATCTCTTGTGAAGGAGGTTGGTGACAGGAGAGGTGAGGTACAGCTGACTTTACAGGTTGATTCTATGTCAGATCAAGTCAAGTTTTTCTCCCTAATATGTCCATGAGATTGAGATTCTGACATTTGCATTTATAGGTAAATTACTCCGAATTCTTTATCTGTTGAGCCAATTGAGAAAAATGCTCCAAAGGATATACCTGGCAATTAAATATTTTGTAATTTCTGCCAAGTTTTATCATTTCATCTTCATTGCATCCCTAGCTTCAAATATAATGCTATTTTATCCTCTTTTCCCAGGTAAGTTGTGTTTTATCCAAACTTTACAATTTTCTTTGCACTTTTATATAGTCAATAAATGTTTTTTGAGCTCCATTATGAACCAGGCACTGTGTGAAGTGCTTGAGGTATGGTATACCATGAACAAAACATGCACACGCATGCGCACACACACACACACACACACACACACACACAAAATCCCCATGCCAGTGAACTCCTATTCTAGCAGGAAGACACAGATACTATAATAAAAAGTAACAGGTTAAGGAGTACAAGGGATTTTCCTGATAGCTCAGGTAGTAAAGAATCCACCTGCAATGCAGGAAACCATAGTTCAATTCCTGGGTTGGGAAGATCTGCTGAAAAAGAGATAGGCTACCCACTCCAGTATTCTTGGGCTTCCCTTGTGGCTCACAGCTGGTAAAGAATCTGTCTACAATGTGGGATACCTGGATTCAACCCCTTGGTTGGAAAGATCCCCTGGAGAAGGGAACTGCTACCCTCTCCAGTATTCTGACCTGGAGAATTCCATGGACTGTATAGTTCTTGGGGTCGCAAAGAGTCGGACACGACTGAGCAACTTTCACTCATTCACTCAAGGAGTACAAGTGTCCAGGGCAAGCCTCCTTGAGAGGATGACTTTTCAGCAAACTATAAAAGGAGATGAAGGAGCCATTGACTGTGTGGGGAAAGCATTCCAGAGGGTGGGAACAAGTAGAATGAAAGGAGGAATCTCCTGATAGGTTTGAGGAACAGCAAGGAGGCTTCTTCAGCTGAAGCAAGGTGAGAATGAGGAAGAGTAACGGGCTGGGGGTCACAGTATTATGAGTCAGTTAAAGGTTTTGGATTTTGTTCTGAGTGCAATGGGGAGGAACTAGAAGAGAAAAATTGTAGGAGAGGAATGCCATGATCTGAATTTCATTGTAGAATAACCATTTTGACTATTACATTGAGAACAGATTGTTAGAAGAAAAGTTAGACATAGGAACAGCTGCTAGGACAAAGTTGTATATCTGATTAGTTGTATGTCTAACCAGATAGGACAGTGGCTTGGCCCTGGTGGTAACAGTGGAGGTGGAACAAGGTATCAGAATCTATCTATTCTGAAAGTTGAGTCAACAGCTATTTCCTATCAGGTTGGATAAGGGAGGAAAAGTAAGATTATGAAGCAAAAACATCTATTCTTCCCATAACCTATACTCTGAAATATTGCTGGTTACAGAGTATTTAATCAGGGCCCATATATTTTTACACATATTTGACAGAAATTCACATAAAACAAAAAAATTCTGGAAACCTTACATTGTATTTTTGGTACTAAAATCAATATTTGAACTGTGCTATATTTTGTCTACTGGAAGGTTTTATACCCTTAAGAAATGTAGCATAGTAAAACCTAGGAAAGGTAAGGAATTTGCCTTTCTTCTGTCCAGAGTAAGAAGGACTGATATAAAGAGGCTATGGGGAAAGGGAAATCTGTGTGATGCTTGGAAAGAATACTACAGAAATTAAATGCTACAGAAGTTGATTTCTTTATAACAATTAGTGTCCATGGACCCCTGGGAAGTGAGGTTCACATATTCTCTGCTTGAAGATCAGTGGACTGATGGCTTTTGTGCCTGAAATAAGACTGTTAGTAATGACTCCAGGAGGCAACAATTGAATGTACAATACATACTTCAAGACTGATCTCTGGTAAAAGTTCACCATATAAAATATATATACATTTATTCACATATTAGTTTCTGTAGTACATTTTGTTCCAAGGCAATTCTCGATCTAATAAAATCATTTAGGGAAAACAACTACCGCTAGCTTGCATTCAGCAAGTGATCACATATCTCAATATTGCATTCTCCAAGAAACCAAAAGAAGAAAATGATCTTAGAAAAGACTGTTGTTTGGGCAAGCAGTGAAATGCAAACAAATTTTCAAATATTGACTAGTAGTTGGTGATTTATAAATCGTTATGGCTAGTAGCACCCTAAGAGGCATTAGTAATACTAGTTGGCAATGCATTATAGCTCAGCAGTTCTGCACAACCGAAATTGGGCAGCATCCATAGAGGATATTTATTACATAGCCAGGCATTTGAAGATGTCTTTCTGGAAGCAAAATATGATGATGAGGGAAATTATGTAATGAATGGTTCTCAAATACATGTAATGGAAAGCTATTTACTGGGAAAAGCAAACACACTTGGGCATGGAAGGCATTTCTCAAAATCTATCTACCAACTGAGAGTAGCTCCTGTTCGGATATGAAGAAAAACAAAATGCTATCTCCCAAAGTCATAAAAGTACAACAGTCTAGTTGATATTTGATCATGTTTTTCTTCAAACCCCTCATTTTGGAATTTCCCTGGTGGCTCAGACGGTAAAGAATCTGCCTGTAATGTGGGAGACCTGGCTTCGATCCCTGGGTTGGGAAAATCCACTGGCCTGGAGAATTCCATGGACTGCATATTCAGACAAGACTGAGTGACTTTCACACATACATACTGTGTTACATATATACATATGTGTGTATATATGGGTGTATACATACACACATAAAGAAAAAAAGACTGACCTCAGGATAGTAAGTGGAAAAAAAGATGAAAGGGATGAAAAAGTTTGTTACATTTACTGTGTTTGTCCAACTTTTAGTGAGAAGGAGAGAGCTGGACTCATATGTTTTGTATGTTCCCTGCTCAAAAGGATGGATAGGATTTGGAAGAAAATGTTTTTATTTTTCGGATGAGACAAGGAACTGGACATTCAGTCAGACATTCTGTACTTCAGAAGAAGCTGTTCTTGCTCAGTTTGAAACCGAGGAGGAGCTGGTAAGGAATATTTTTGGATCATGTTCTTTGTTAAATATTTAGCCCCTGAGAAGGCTATAGGCTGCATAGGGTGACAGCTGAAAAAAAGAGGAAGGATCCGATTCCAGGCAGATTTGGGGGCTTCGAGTGCACATTAGTGCCTGATATTTCTTGAGTATGTTCTCTGCCTGGAACCCTGTGAGACAATTTAGACACATTCTCTCTTGTATCCACATAGTTAACCTTTAGTTAAAAGTATTGTTCCCATTGTACAAAGAAATATGGTAATCATGTAATTTATCATCAAAATCTGACATTTTGGGGAATGAAAATGACAATATTAATAATAAGTTGGTGCCACAGGTATAACCTGGGACTTTCTCAGTCAAACTGGGATGTGTGGTCACTTTAATGTAATTTAGGATCAGAGATATTTGAGTGACTTAAGCTGAGAACTGGGGACTAGTCTCCCACCAGATTCTAAACTTACCAATTATTTAGGCTGCCATTTAAAGAGAGAAGGCTAAGGGGAAGAGGACTCAAGGGTAAAATGAAGCAGACATGTGTTTTTGCTTTCTGTGTTTTATAATAGAACTTCCTGCTAAGATACAAAGGCCCCTCTGACCATTGGATTGGCCTTAGTAGAGAATCATCACATCATGTTTGGAAATGGACAGACCACTCTAAATATAATGCCTCGTAAGTTTATAGACTTTCTTCTATTGTATTTACATGTGGTTTTGGGTATGAATTGTGTTTATGAGAAAATAAATTTAATATCATGGAAAGATTATGAGTTAAGAAATATAAATCCTTTGCATGCTCTTCCATTTATTAGTTGCACCTTTGGAAAAACTTTAATATGATTTCAGTTGAAACATTTATCATGATGATAACATTGGATGTAGTTCTTCCACTTTCACCCACTGACTTAAACTGTGCTAATTCCCTACTTAAAAGGTAGAGAGAACAGCTGAGGCACACGAGAGTCCTACAATCTTAGAAAGCCACTAAGAATTGATATGCACAGACCCTCAGTCCACTCTTTCATTTGCTACATTCATTCTTAAAAGGAAGGTTGTCAGGGCACCCAGTGGGAATCCTCCCTAAATTATCTCTGGGAGGAACTTAGTAACATTTCTTGGATTGTGAGTGCTTCGGTGGGGATGTTTTGAATGTAATCATTACATCGGAGCAGATAGAATCGCAGTCACTTCCCTCAATCAAAACTAAGCCCTTTTAAGAATTTACTAGCAAGTAAACACTTTATTTTCACGCATGTATGAAACAGGTCAGGAGAGCACTGAAAATGTTCTTCACTCAAGGCCACTGGCAATGAAAATAATCAATAATAGATTAATAAATGATCAATAATAAAAATGGAAAATGTTTTTTAGTTCTCAACCAAGTTGAGGACTGAACTAGACCACTTCCTAGATTACTCGGAGAAATCGCTCCAGAGAAACAGGGTTTCTAGCCCAGTTTTACATCTTGTCAGAACAGAGAACATTGAACAAGTCAGGGTTACATCTCTTCGAGATTTCCCCCAGAATAAAAAAAAAAAGAATAGACCAGCACATACACAGGGGATCAGTATGACCCTGGCACCACCTGGGAAGGGAGTCTTATCAACAAAGGAGAACCAGCATTGATGTCTCAAGAAGAGGGACATTTAATCTTTATTTCTAACATGGACATTTTTACTTCTGGTCAATGTATCATTTTCTTTAGTAATTAAAGCAGAAGTATAATGTATGCTTGATAGGCCACAAGCAGGTTGTTTTTAATAGCATAAAATTTAATTCATGTATAAACCAGAATGACTTCCCTATATCTCAATATGTGAAATTTTCATTTATCACCACCCATGGCAACAGTTCACTTGGCTACCACAGCAAGCACTAGTTAAATACCTCAGTTCAGTTCAGTTCAGTCACTCAGTCGTGTCTGACTCTTTGCGACCCCATGAATCGCAGCACACCAGGCCTCCCTGTCCATCACCAACTCCCAGAGTTTACTCAAACCTATGTCCATTTTGTTGGTGATGTCATCCAGCCATCTCATCCTCTGTCGTTCCCTTCTCCTCCTACCCCGATTCTCTCCCAGCATCAGGGTCCTTTCCAATGAGTCAACTCTTCACATGAGGTGGCCAAATTACTGGAGTTTCAGCTTTAGCATCAGTCCTTCAAATGAACACCCAGGACTGATCTCCTTTAGGATGGACTGGTTGGATCTGCTTGCAGTCCAAGGGACTCTCAAGAGTCTTCTCCAGTACCACAGTTCAAAAGCATCAATTCTTCGGCTCTCAGCTTTCTTCACAGTCCAACTCTCACATCCATACGTGACCACTGGAAAAACCATATCCTTGATCAGACGGACCTTTGTTGGCAAAGAAATGTCTCTGAATACCTAGTCAACAGCATAACTGGATTTGGGATGGATAGTGATAATCTTCTGATACTCCAGCAGAGACTTTGAGAGTATAAAAGGAACTAAATACAGAAATGGTGTATATTTACTCAGAAGACTTATGAACAACAGATTTTCACTTTTCTCTTGTTTACCTTAACAGTAACTGAAGGGGGAGTGCTGAAACATACAGAGGAGAAATGAATGTAGATGTCCAGTCTATGCTTTTTAAATATTTTTGTGTTTGGTTTTAGGTTTGCCATCACAGGAGATGCGACATGTGGCTACCTGAATGACCTTGGAGTTAGTAGTGCCAGAAGTTACACAGATAGAAAATGGATTTGCAGCAAAAAAATAACTATTCCATATCCTTAAATTCTTCAAGTCTTTTTTAGGGAATTTCACACATGATCTCCAAGAGATGCATTATAAATTACATACAGTTGCTGCTCTATCGCTTGCTCTTCCAAAAATATCACCAATATTCATTTATAGTGTTGTTAACAGCAAGGAGACAAGCTATACTTGAATGATACAGGGGTTTGGAAAAGCACGATTCTAAATTAAGTAAGTGTTATATAATGAGTTGATATTTATGTTTTGAACCCAGTCAATATGAACAAATGTCTCTTTTTATATACAGACAGTAATTTCTTTGCACATATGGGACCATAAAAATAACTATGATAACTGAAGCCATGCTAAATGATTTTAATCACTGATGAGAAAAGTTATTAATTGGTTAACACAATCGAAATTATCTTACCATCAGTTGCAAATGTATGGGGAAAACTTTTTTGGACTTCCCTGGTGGCACGGTGGATAAGCATCTGCCTGCACATTCAAGAAACATGGGTTCGATCACTGGTCCAGGAAGATTTCACATGCCACGGAACAGCTAAGACCATGTGCCACAATACTGAGCCTGGATTCCACAGTCCATGAGCGGCAACTATTGTAGCCCAAGTGCTCAAGAATCTGTGCTCTGCAACATGAGAAGCCACTGCAATGAGAAGTCCCTGCACTGCAGTGAAGAGTAGCCCCCAGTGCACCAGCCCTGAGCACTTGTCTCATGCATCCAACCTGGGCAAAACCCACTACAATATTGTAAAGTAATTAGCCTCCAACTAATAAAAATAAATGGGAAGAAAAAAAAAAGAGTAACCCCCACTCTCTGCAACTGGAGAAACCGCAAAACAAGGAAGACCCAGAGCAACCAAAAATTAACTAATTCATTAAATTAAAAAAAAAAAAAAAGCAAAACACTTATATAGGGAAATTCTTAAAATTCCCAAGACTGGGGGCTTACCTGGTTGTCCAGTGGCTAAGACTCTGCTCCCAATGCAGGAGGCCTGGGTTCAATCCCTGATCAGGGAACTAGATCCTGCATGCTAAAAGTATAAGATTCCCCAGGCTTGTCTCAGCCAAATGTTCCCACTTGCAGCAACTAAAAATTCCACATGCTCTATAACAAAGTGAATCAGCTGTACAGCCTATGGAATCTTTGGTTGATGCATGTGAGATTTTAATCCAATTAAAAAAAAATCTTAACACAAAAAGCAGGAAAGAAAAAAGAAAGACATCACAGAAACTGTCAAAAAAAAAAAAACAACAACAGGATTCTACATAGCACAACCCATAAAGAAGATTCCTCATGCCGCCAGTAAGATCCAAGCAGCTCGCCCCCAAAAATTTACTAAGAATAATATTTATTATAAACTCTATATTTTAAAACATTAGAAACACTGAAAAAAATGCCTCATACACTTCAATTGTTGGTGTTTATGTTTCAGTGTGCTAAATAAATGTTATCCCTATAAACCAATATTTTGTTTTTGGTATTTTATATACCAATCTTTTGTTTACCTTTTATTGGATTTTAAAATCCTGCTTCCACTCTAATTAAATCACAAATAGTTACTTCTACCCATTAGCCATGTGATACCCAATCTCAGAATATATGATTGAATTTGATAAACAAAATGTTTTAAATTTTTACAGCATTAGCTACACTGTACTCATGAGTCTACAAAAGTAGAAAATAGTAACTTATAACATATCCTCTCTACGTACTTCCATCTCTTCTTGACTCCTTACCCCCTGGTTTTAACTTGTTTTCAATATCTATGACACTATTTCGGTTTTATAAGTTCATTTGTAGCCTTTTTTTAGATTCTACATGTAAGTGATATTGTATGATATTTGTCTTTCTTGCCAGTTTCTTAGTGTAGTTTTATGCAATTTTGTATATATTAATTTTCCATATATGTATAAATATTATATGTTTAATTAGGGGCTTCCCCAATGGCTCAGTGGTAAAGATCTGCCTACAATGCAGGAGACCTGAGTTGCATCCCTGGGCTGGGACGATCCCCCGAAGAAGGAAATGGCTACCCTCTCAGGTATTCTTGCCTGTGAAATCCCATGGACAGAGGAGACTGGCAGGCTACAGTCCATGGGGTCTCAAAGAGTCAGAAACAACATAGTGGTTAAACAACAACATAATAAAAAAAAACAATTCTTCAAAGTGAATCTTCTACACATTCTATTAGTTTTGTTTCCCTGGAGAACCCTGACTGCTATAGGAAATTAATTCCTTACAAAGGAAACTTTGACTGAAGGGGACAGGGGACAGGAAGAATGCAAGATGCATTCACTCCCTGTCTATTACCTTTGCTTCCTTGGCTGGACAATTTGGAAACACAAGTGTTTGACAGGCTCTCAGGAGGCATCAGAAAAAATGAACAGTCTGCTCAGCTTTTTCTAAAGATGTAACATTAAACACCTTAATCATTTAAAATGTATTTATTTATATACTTATTCATTTGTTTGTGAGATTTATTCATATTCATTAAAGATTTAAATCTATGGAATTTAGAACTACAAAAATATATATAAATCAATAAAAGTGCTGCTAAGTCAAATTGATATGTCCATAAAGTGAAATAGTATGCAATAATAAAGTAAAACTATAATAGTGTGTGGAAGGAACTATAAGATGTTGAGGAACTTGCTTGGCCATATGATAGTTCTATTTTAAATTTTTTCGGGAAATTCCATGGTGCTTTCCACAGTGGCTTACTAATTTAAATTTTTACCAGCAATGCATAAGGGTTCCCTTTTCTATACATTCTTGCCAAAACTTGTCTCTGTCTTTTTGATAATGTCCAATCTAACATTGTAGCTTTGATTTTTGTTTCTGATGATTAGTGATGTAGAACATCTTTTTAAGTTCCTACTAGCTGTCTGTATATCTTCTTTATAAAAATGTCTATTCATTTCCTCTCCCCATGTTTTAATTAAATTATATGGTTTCTGTTGTCATTCTTGCTGTCGGATTTTGGGACCGTGGGCTGGGACTCCAGTTCTATTGTTGGTCAAGGCTTCTCTGGACCAGTACTTAACACACACACACACACTCAATAAACATGTGTAGGGATGACACAGCTGTGCTTATGGGAAGCAAGTGGGACTGTGAATTTGTGAGCTCTACCCAAAAGGATTGAACTTAAGACTCTGAGTTTTGTCACCACTGCCAATGTGGCTTAAGCAGGGTAGAGGGACTGCTAATCTGAGACCCACAGTCCTGCCCACAGTTCTACCAGGGCTTGGTATCATCTCCACATTTGGTGGGAGAGGAGGTCTTCTCTGTGTTCAGAGAGAGCTATGGTAAAGAATCAGCCTGCAATGCAGGAGACTGGGGTTCAATCCCTGGGTTGAAAGATCCCCCGGAGAAGGGAATGGCAACCCACTCCAGAATTCTTGCCTGGAGAATTCCATGGACAGAGGAGCTTGGCAGGCTGCAGTCCATGGGGTCACAAAGAGTTGGACATGGCTGAGAGACTAACACTTTCTTTTTGCTGCTGAAATGTGGAATGTTTTTTAACAAAAAATATGTGATTATTGATAGACACCAATTCATTGAATACATTTTAATCTCATTGAAACAGGCTTGTTTTGGTATTTACTCAGGTATTTGCATTTTCTCAACACAGTCTTTTTTGTTTTGTTTTGCATCAACTTTCTGGTCACAAGATAGGGTGACCAGGTTACCTTTTTTTTTTTTTTTTTTTTTCAAAATGATCACCTATATCAAACATATCAAAGCAATCTAATTTTCCTATAGTCCCAGTGTAACAGAGTTCCTCAACATATTCTCCTTGTAAAATTTTTTTTTCTTGAGCTCTGATATTTCATATTCATGAGTCAACATTATCTTATTTTAACAAAGCTCTATTTTCAGTTCAGTGCAGTTCAGTTCAATCACTCAGTCATGTCTGACTCTTTGCAACCCCATGAATCGCAGCATGCCAGGCCTCCCTGTCCATCACAAACATTTGTAGAAAACTAATAAAAGAAGTACGTTCATTTTTGGTATCAGATCCTGGCCTCCTGAAGACATTTTAAAATGTTTCTGATATGGTGGTCAGTTACACAGCTGATGGACACAGATTGCTTTCACTTTCTACTTGTGTATACTCTACGCAACAGATTGGAGCATGGCTGCCTCCAGTTCTCTCCAGGATGCCTCAAGTTATAGGAAACACCTATTTTCACCAATGATTTTTAAGATGTGATGGAGTTTCAGTGCTTAAAGAAGCCAAATAAGTATTTACATTAGTCTACAATTCACAGTTTTAGTTAAATGCTAGAGATCTACTAAGAAATCATACCACAAATGGGAGCCTAGAAGCCAAAGTTAAGCACCAGGAAGTGTGCTGGCCCCTAACTGAGCCTGTTCCATGGCAAAGACTCAGTCCATTCAGAAATTGCTTCTCCAGGAAGCCATCACATTCTAGGAATGAGTTCATAGTCCAAAATCACCAAATGTCTAAGGAAGACCAACAACAGGAAATAAAGTCTACAGTATCCATCAACAAAATAATGTTCACCTAAGAAAACAGAATTAGTAGAACAATTTATAAAAATACGTAAATAATGCGTATGCAAAAGAATAATGACCTCCGCTCCTCCACTGCCAAAAAGTTTTTAAAAGGATGCTGTTTCTTGTTCTAAGGAAATAAAAGAGCATGTATAAAACATGCAACTCACCACTGAGTTGAGGTGACAAAGAAGTCTAGATATCCTTCATCTTTTTAGCGCATAATTAAGATTTATCCTCAGAGAGGCCTTCTTTCTGACGGAAGGCAGTCATTTTCAGCTTGTGCCAGCCACCAGTTTACCGTGTTTTATCTACAATCTTTGCTTTCACTGCCTGATCTGTATTAGTGGGCTGGACTCTAAGCTATTTCCCCTGCAGTGAGCTGGTGGTAAATTTGTGACTAGAAGACATTGGAGGGATGTTGAGGAGGGAGGGTCTTCTTTCCCTGATTCTGGATTTCTGTTCAGATTTCTCTCTTTGCTCTTGCTACCCTGTGGCATGACACTGACATTAAAAATGCTGCTAAACCACCAATAACCGTGTGGTGGCAAGCAGACAAATGAAAAATTATTATGAAGTTGGGTTATTACTTAGCCATAACAAAGAATGAAGTACTGATAGGCTGCAACATGGATGATCCTTGAAAATATTGTGCTAAGTGAAAGAAACCTGTCATCAAAGTTCACAGTCATATGGTTCTATGTGTATGAACTATCCAGAATAGGCCAACCTGTAGACATAGACACAGATGGGGTTTTGACGGTGATTGGGTGTGCTGGTGTGTAATGGGAAAAATGAAATCAAGTGTTAGTCGCTCAGTTGTGTTCACCTTTTTGTGATCCCTATGGACTGTAGCCCGCCAGGCTCCTCTGTCCATGGGATTTCCCAGGCAAGATTACTGGAATGGGTTGCTATTCCCTACTCCAGGGGCTCTTCCTGACCCAGGGGTAAAATCCTGGTCTCCCACACTGCAGGCAGATTCTTTATCATACCTTCTAAGCCACCAGGGAAGCCCAAAGCAACTTCTTAATGCGTATGGGCTTTCTTCTTGGGGTAATTAAAAGGTTTTGAAACAACTAGAGATGGTGGTTGCACAACATTGTGAATGTACTTAATACCACTGAAATATTCATTGTAAAAGAGCTAAGTTTATATTACAGAAACT